GGCAGAGACCCCATCAGAGCTCCAGCAGAACTTGCGAAATTACATAACAAATAATGCTCTCCCTTTCAGCCTGAGGTAGTAGAAAGAGGTGGAGCTATGATTAAGGGTCCTGTGCAAGACCTTAACTTTGGGCCTCTACCTTCTTCTAACAGGTGGGTTGGATAATCCCTGAGGTCCCTCATTGTTTGGACATTCTATGGCATGTGCACTGTGTCATGGGGAAGAAAGCTCTCTCTTCACTCCCAGATGCAGATTCTGATGGCTTTCTGTTGCTACCATGTTTCCTTTTTCCTTGGGAGAAAAGAAGAGAGGAAAGGAAGGAAGGAAGGATGGAGAGAGAAAAGCCTTTAGAAATCAACAAAATTAAAACACAGAACACAAAGCCATGCTTTTTAGAGTTGCAGGACTGCTGGGACAGGAAGAAAGAGGCTCCTCTGCATTGCAAGGGGCTGTGTGAGAGGCATGCTATCTCATGGCCCTGACTCTGGCCTCAGCTGGTTATCAAATCCAACTTGGATATTCAGGTGAAATGCAGGATGCCACTGACAACTTGCCTGGAGGCTCAGAGGTCTCCAGTGAGCTAGAAAACAAGACACCACATTCTTCCCTGCTCCTGCCCCAGAAAGATTTCCTGGCTTCTCAGCCTCTGTTTCCTAATCTAAAACCATCTCTGGAGTGTCGCTAGGATGATTAATGAAAACATCATTCATTTACCCAAAATGAGTGTTCTGCCAAAAGAATATAAGAATATAGGACCCTGAAAAGCGTTTTATTTTATTTTATTTATTTTGAAACAGAGTCTCACTCTATCACCCAGGCTGGAGTTCAGTGTCACAATCTCGGCCCACTGCAACCTCCACCTTCCAGGTTCAAGCAATTCTCCTGCCTCAGCCTCCTGAGTAGCCAAGCATACAGATGTGCACCACCACGCCCCACTTATTTTTGTATTTTTAGTAGAGACGGGTTTCACCATGTTGACCAGGCTGGTCTTGAACTCCTGACCTCAGGTGATCCACCCGGTTCAGCCTCCCAAAGTGCTGGGATTACAGGCATGAGTCACCACACCCGGCTGAAATGTGTTTAAGAAAAGGCAGAACAGTCCTTGCCAATGTAGGAGAGTTTCAGTGTCCCCTCTTCCCACCAACTGTCAAAAGAGAAGAGCAAGTTTTCCTGAGGGGTTTGGGGAGGGGTTTCCTTCTTGTTTCCATCATTACAGCCAGACAAAGTGTCTCCAAACTGCCTGTGATCACTACAGCAATGTTAATTATGACTGGAAAATGAAGAGAAAAATCATTTAGCCCCAGGATCTAGGTGACCATGGGTGCAACATTCAAATCCGCTTCAGTTCAAAAGGATTTCCAGGGGAAAATTCCACTCTGTATTCCCCAAGCCCTCACTTTCCTGGCTGCCTATCACTCACCCCCAGAGCTTCCTCCTCCACTCACTCTAACTGCCCGGTGAAAGAGCAGCCTCAGGCCCCCACCCAGGTAGAGACAACATCCCATGTCACACGCCTCAGGGCAGCTTCACATGTGGAAGGGACAAGAACTGGAATAGTCATTCCGGATATTTTCCTTCCTGCCGATCTGGGGATTAAGGCTGTGTGTGCGTGTCTATCAGAGTGTTTTTTTATGTTTGCATGAAGTTTCCATCCAGAACAAAACATTTCTCCCTTTAAAGAGAAAAGGTCCCCAAAGGCAGTGCTTCTCTAAACATGTGCCTCAGAATATGTGTTATGAGCAAAAATGCTCTTTGGTTTTATGTCAAAAAACAGTTTAGGGCTCACACCTGTAATCCCAACACTTTGGAAGGCGGAGGCGGTGGAGCACTTCAGTCCAGCGGCTTGAGAGCAGTCTGGGAAGCATGGTGAAACCCTGTTTCTACAAAAAATAAAAAAATCTCAGCTACTCGGAGGCTGAGGTGGGAGGATCACCTAAACCTGGGGAGGTCAAGACTGTAGTGATCTGTGATCATGCCATTGCACTCCAGCCTGCGTGACAGAGTGAGATCTTGTCTCAAAAAAAGAAAAAAGATGGAGCTTAACAATCTTTTTTTTTTCTGAGGGACTCACTCTGTTGCCCAAGCTGAGTGCTGTGGCACAATCATGGTTCCCTGAAGCCTCGACTTCCTTGGCTCAAGCAATCCTCTTGCCTCAGCGTCCCGAGTAGCTGGGACTACAGGCACACACCACCATGCCCAGCTAATTTTTTGTATTTTTAGTAGAGACAGGGTTTCACCATATTGACCAGGATGGTCTCAATCTCTTGACCTTGTGATCCACCTGCCTCGGCCTCCCAAAGTGCTGGGATTACAGGCATGAACCACCACACCTGGCCAGAACCATTTTCTAAGCTTTCCTTATTCTGGTAGCTGAGGAAGAATAAACTTACTTGTTCACTACAGTTTCCTCATCAGAAAAGCAGCCTTTGGGCTGGATGTGGTGACTCATTCCTAAAATCTCAACATATTAGAAGGCCTAGGCAGGATTGCTTGAGGCCAGGAGTTTGAGACCAGTCTGGGCAACATAATGAGGCCTCATCTCTACAAAAAAAGGGATGAGGGGTAGAAAAACAGTCTTTTATATCAGAAACCCAAGATCTTCAAGAGGACAGAGACCTTAGCATTGTCCTGGAGCCCATTACTTTTTCGAAGTACCTTTAGGACCAGCTGATTTGAACTTCCTCCTCTCGGGCTCCTCTCTACTGCTCACCAGCGGATAGGCTTTAATGGGATACAGATGGGGTTTTAATTTTATTCTGTGGCTCTCAAAGTGCAATTCCGGGACAAGAAGCATCAGCGGCACCTGGAAACTTGTTAGCACTTCCCTACTCCCAGATAATAAGAATCTGAAACTCTGTGAACAAAGATTGAGCAACCTTGTTTTTAAAAGCATTCCAGGTAATTCTGTTGCATGTTAAAGCCTGAGAGCCCCTGGCCTTGAGAAATCCTCTTTCATATTTTCATTTATTCATTCTGCAAATATTTGCTAAAGACTGGGGCTAGAGTAGTGTTCAAGACAGATGAGGTCCTTAACCAAAGGAACTAAACAATAAACAAACACATCAATGAGATCATTCAAGTTGGGGTGGTAGCAAAAAAGGAATGAGGGAGAACAATTTAAATAAAGAAGTCCAGAAGAGCTTCTCAGAGGAGGTGACATCTGAGCTGAGACCTGAAAAAGCAGAATGAGGCATCCTTTTAAGGAGCTGGAAAAAAGGCATTCAGACAGGAATGACAGCAATGTCAAAGCCCCTGAGAGGGCAAAGGCTCAAGGGTATTGGAGGATGAGAGAGAGGACAGAGAGAAAATTAGTCTGGAAGATGCAGATTCTCACACAGCCCATCCAATGAGCTATTTGTTCAGCAGGTTCAAGGATCTGCATTTTCACAAGCTCTTAAGAAATTCTGATGCCCACTGAAGTTTGAAAGCCACTGGTCCTGGCCTGGTGCGGTGGCTCACGACTGTAATCCCAGCACTTTGGGAGGCCAAGGCAGGCGGATCGCCTGAGGTCCGAAGTTCAAGACCAGCCTGGCCAACATAGTGAAACCCCATCTCTACAGAAATACAAAAATTAGCCAGGTTTGGGGGCAGGTGCCTATAATCCAAGCTACTCGGGAGGCTGAGGCAGAAGAATCGCTTGAACCCAGGAGGTGGAGGTTGCAGTGAGCCGAGATCTCTCCACTGTATCTAGCCTGGGAGACAGAACAAAATTCAGTCTCAAAAAGAAAGGAAGAAAAGAAAGGAAGCCACTGTCCCCTTAAAGTCGCACAGCTATGTCAGAGCCGAAGGGGCAGCACAACTCAGATGTAGAACCGCAGATCAGGCTCCATGCTTAGCAGGTGGAAACCCTGATACTGTGGCCTCTGTGCAGTGCCCTTGGCTCTAAGAAGAGGTGCCCAGAGATCAGCACTGGCCCAACTTTGCTGATTTCCCCAGCTGGTCAGTCCGTGAAGTTTGCTACTGGGATTCCCTGAGGGAGATTTGTTGCGTGTCCACTCCACGCGCCTCTAGACATTTTTCCAGAGAGAAAACGTGTGCTAAACATTGTGATCCCCAGATGACCCCTCTAGCTCCCCAAAGAGATCTAGCTGGAGAGCAAAACAGTAAGTGAAGTGGACCGCAGCCAACATGGGCCCAAATTTGAACAAGATGGGGGAGTGGCCTCTGCCGGGCCTGTGACACGCGGAGGACGGTATCACTTCCTAAGTTCCTGCTCAGAGGAGGGGAGGCTCCCTATCTCTTAGCAGGTGCTCCATAAATGGCAGTTGAATGTTGAAAGAAGGATTAACAAAGGGCTGAAGCATGCGGGGACGCGAGACCGTGGGAGGTAAAGTGTTTCTCTGCATAGATTGGATCGTCAGGTCCTCGGAGAACAGAACACATAGTCCACCCACCTTTCCACCACAGCCGCTCATCAAGACCCTTAGCGTTGGCCTCTTGTGTGACTTGATGGTCCCTAACACTGCTTTCCAGGTGCTAGGCAGCTGTGCCAATTCTAAGCTCTAATCAAAGAATGAGGCAAAGCTGAAGAGAATGAAGGCACTTTTACTTAGATGAAGCTTGCTATCTGTGTTACACTGTATACTTTTTCAAGTATTTTTGCTTCTATTAGCTCATAATTCGGCCTGGAAAGTTTCTCTCACTCTGTTGCCCAGACTGGAGTGCAGTGACACAATCTCGGCTCACTGCAACCTCCGCCTCCCAGGTTCAAGCGATTCTCCTGCCTCAACCTCCCGAGTAGCTGGGATTACAGGCGCCCGCCACCACGCCAAGCTAATTTTTGTATTTTTAGTAGAGGCAGAGTTTCACCATGTTGGTTAGGCTGGTCTTAAACTCCTGACCTCAAGTGATCCACCTGCCTCGGCCTCCCAAAGTGCTGGGATTACAGGCATGAGCCACTGTGCCCAGCCTAAGAAGTCTTTTAAATAAATATCACCTCCTCCAAGTTAATCTGTGTCATCATTCTGCTTATCTCCCTCAGAGCATGCAGCATAGTTGGTGGTTATGTTACTTACCTGTTTCCTCGTTGACTGTCCCCCCGCTCTGGAACGTGGGCTCCATGAGGGCAGGAATTACCGCCATCTTGTTTAGCACCATACCCCACCACCGGGAAAAGCCGGTTCCATTAATAAATGGAACGAGTAGCAATTCTAAAGCAGGTGAGTCAGATGAGTCCCTGAGGCACAGAGAGAAAGAGTGAGCTGCCTAACCCCGAGTGCCAGGTTAGTGGCAAAACCTGTGCTAGAATCTGGGGCTTTCTAGCTCCTAGTCCCATAGTCAGGAGGATGCTAGCACCTGTCCCTGTCCCGGAAGGGAAAGGAAAAACAATCACTTACCTGCAGGGGAGGGAACTGAGAGACAGCAAGAGACCAGAATCAGCCAGTCTGTCCTCTCTATAGACAGTGTTCCCAACCCATGGATTTCCTACTCTGTGATGGGAACCTCAAGCCGAGGAGACAGAATCTGTATTCACATTGAGCTGAAACCTATGAGCATATCCTCTTACACCAGCATCACTTCCTGCCTGAGCCTCGCCAGAGCCCAGAGGTGAGGACTTGGGTCAGTGGGGCTGTCTTAGTCTGCTCCGGCTGTACAACCAAATATGGGCTGGGCAGCTTGAACAACAGACTTTTATTTCCCACAGTTCTGGAGGTGAGAAGTCCAAGATCGGGGACCAGCATGGTCAGGTTCCGGTGAGGGCCCTCTTCCTGACTTGCAGATGGCTGCCTTGTCACACTAGACATCTTCCTCTGCGGCTGTGTCTTTTATCCTCATCAAGGGCACTAACCCCATCACGGGGCCTCACCTTCGTAACCTGATCTAAACCTAATCACCTCCCAAAGGTCCCGCCATCCAACACCATCACATACATACGAATTTGGAGGGGGACACAAACCTTCAGTCCATAACAGGGACCCAGAAGGTGGCAGCCCCAGAGGAAAGAGTTGCTGAATGTCAACCTCCTGTGATCCTCAGCCACAGTTGAGAAGGGGCGGTAAAAGGAAATGAGCAAGGGAGATGGAGAATTCCACCCATGGGTCAGTTTACGACGGCTCCGAGGCAGCTCCCATGGGCTTGCTGGGCTCACCAGACTCCACTGCGAAACGAGGGCCACTCAGCTGGACTCCATTAGCAGGCCTAGTTTTTCATTCCAGTTTGCCACTGACCTGACGAGGGCTAGCACGCTGCCCGAGGCTGGGAAAGTCGGGGACCATCTCGGCGCTGAGTCACGCAGCTCAGCGACCAGGAAGCTTACATAAGATGGATTCCACGTGTTTGTACATCAGGCTCAGGCAACGGGAGCAGGGAGGAAAGGGGTGAGTCTGGGGGCCTTAGGGGGGGATAGGAGGCGGTTTTGAGGACCCTGAAGCTGTGTCTCTCTGTGCCAGGAAGTCGCTGTGGACTCAGGAGACTGTGAGAGGGTACCTGACATGGCAGAGCCCCTAGAGATTACAGATGCAGATTAAAGAGAACAACACAGAACATTAGCTTTGAATCAGTATTGCACAATTCTCATGCACCCTGTCCTCAAGGCTTGGGAATGTGAAGTAGCCAAGTAGAAAGAAACTCGAGTGGCACATGAGTAAGAGACTTAGTAAAAACCTGGACTCCCGGACTCAGATTTGTCTTCAGGGTATTGTTACTGCCACAGGGATAGCAATCGCAGTGACATTGGAATGACGTTTGCTGGGCAGGGAAACAGTCTGTGGGCTAGAAAACTGTGAGTGGGCAGCCGTTTGAACTTCACTGCCAAGCTCCTTTCAGACATGACCTTCACAGATGAAAACAAGGAGACGGGCCCATAGGAGACTCTCCTGGGATTTGGTGGAAAGGGGGCATCCTTCTTTTTTTTTCTTTCTTAGCTTTTCAATCACTTCCAAGAAAGCATCCCCCGCACCCCCCCAACTCCACACATTCTTCAATAAGATGGCCCAAAGTTGTCTACAAATAAAATAAGCCCCCTTTACCATCCAAAAACTGTTGCTTTCATGGATGTATATTTTAATGTGCATACAATTTCTCAGCTTCTTGGTACAAAGGAAGTGACAGGTTTTTGTGCTAGTTCTGCTCTGCGCAGAGTGAGAAGTGCCCTCTACTTTAGAGAGAGAGACTCGAGTCAGAATTCTAAATCACCCTGGGTCATCCTTTTCTTTCTTTGAGACAGAGTCTCACTCTGGAGTGGAGTGGCACAATCTTCTCTGCGACCTCTGCCTCCCAGGTTCAAGCAATTCTTCTGCCTCAGTCTCCTGAGTAGCTGAGACTACATGTGCACACCACCACACTTAGCTGATTTTTACATTTTTAGTAGAGATGGGGTTTGCTATGTTGATCAGGCTGGTCTTGAACTCTTGACATCAAGTGATCTACCCACCTCAGCCTCCCAAAATGCTGGGATTACAGGCATGAGCCACCGCACCCGGCCCTACCTGCCTTCTTGAACTTGTTTTCCCCTCTGGGAAACAGGGTGACCATAGCATGTAACTTCACAGGGTTTCTGAAATCTAAAGGAGATTGAGATCTTTGGATACTCAAAAGCCCTGGACAAATACTTGTAAGCATATTTGGGGTTTTGTTTGTGTGCTTGTTTTTGTTTTTGAGACAGGGTCTTGCTCTGTCGCCCAGGCTGGAGTGCAGTGGTGCTATCATGGCTTATTATAGCCGCCTTGACCTCTCGGGCTCCAGTGATCCTCCTGCCTCAGCCTCCTGAGTAGCCGAGACGCTAGGTGCACACCACCATGCCTGGCTGGGTTATGTTAACAGTTGGAAATGTTAAAATTATTTGTAAACAAAATTGTGAGACAGATAGCAGAAAGTGAACAGGAGATTATGTTTTATCTTGTAGGGATAATAAAAGAACAGTGTTGTTTTTATTGACTTTTTTTTGTCTCACCAACGCAAAAAGAATTTGAATCTAATTAAAGCTATAGCCAAACTATCCAAGGGAGAAAAAAGATGTTTTTCAAACGCTCATACAATTTCAAAGGGATCGTGAAGACTCTGAGGGCCACGACGGATCTGAAAATAAAAGTCCTATTATGTAAAGAATGTATGCCCATAATAAGTCCATGCCTGCCTCTTGGGCATCATCAGGGAAAAAGCAGGAAGAGAAGAAGCCATCACTGAAAATCTTGTGACACAAATAGGTCACCCCTAGGGGACAAATATTCTAACATCCTTTTTTTTTTTTTTTTTTTTTTTTTTTTTTTTTTTTTTTTTTTTTTTTTTTTTTTTTTTTTTTTTTACAGAGGCTAAAGATGACTTTTGGGGACTGAAAATAGATTGTTTGCTTAGTGTAAGGTTGGAGCTAGAATGAAGGCATTCTCTACTCCCAGCTCAGGGCTCTCTGGCTTGTCACGCCTTCTTGCCCATTGACAGGAGGGTCTGTCAGGTGGGTGCTGAGGAGCCAAGCTCCATGCACAGTGGGGCTGAGAAAACTAAGGCTAATGCCAAAGAGGGAGTGGAGAAAATACAGGCTGAGTATGGGGGCTCACACCTGTAATCTCAACACTTTGGGAGGCCGAGGTGAGCAAACCACCTGAGGCCAGGAGTTTGAGACCAGCCTGGCCAACATGGTGAAACACCATCTCTACTAAAAATACAAACAATTATGCGGGCATGGTGGCATGCACCTGTAATCCCAGCTACTTGTGACGCTGGGGCAGGAGAATCACTGGAACCTGGGAGGTGGAGGTTGCAGTAAGCCAAGATCACACCACTGCACTCCAACCTGGGCGACAGAGCAAGATTCTGTCTCAAAAAAAAAAAAAGAAGAAGAAGACAGAAAATACAGGCCATTTTTCATCACCAGATGCCCAGATACTTTTGCTCTCTTTTCTCTGAGGCATGATACAGAAATTATGGAGGGCAATGAGTCCTCCTCACACAAAGTCCACGACTTTGAACCCTGGGCCCAGACTGGCCTTGAGTGGGAGTGACGAGATCTGCTGTGTTAATAAGCTGATTCAAACCTTAGGACTCAGAGCCTCTATCCTGCAAAATCCTCCAGAAGTTGGACTCCATGACCCTTTCCCCTTTACCCTGGCCTGATTTCTCAGTGTTCAGTGTCTAGAATGTGATGACTGCAAGCTCTTAGGGAACTGAGCTCAACCTCCAGAGGCTAAGAGAAACCAAGAGAGGTTTGGGTAAGATCCAACTAGAGCAAGTGATCATCAGGACCTCATTCCTAGGGCGAGAACTGAGAGAGGCTTCTTTTTTGGCAGCGCATTGGGCTTCCTGCATAACGGCGAGGTCCCCCATGTCTGCCGAGTGCCAGATAATGCTTCGTGATTTCCTTCTCTCAGTCATGGCTTAAAATACCTTTGTAAAAGTGTAAGTGGACCATGTCTAAACAGCTCCTGTTCAACCATCATCAACATTAATGGGTTTGATATCATCTAACAGATAAAACTAGTGGGAAAGGAGGGCTTAAGAAAATGAGACGCAGGATAGGTAAACCAGAATGGTGGGCACAATCTGGGTCATGGAATGCCGCCCAGACCAGGTGAGCTGGGTGAGATTCTTTCATTCTTGTGACCTGGCCTTAGCAGTTGGTACTAAATTGGATAGGATTTCCCAAGACTCCTGCCCACCTGGAGCCTGTGACTGATTTTATTTGAAATAGGGTCTTTGCAGATGTAATGAAATTAAGAAAAGGTCATATTGGATTCAGGTGGGCCCTAAATCCAATATGACTCGTGTTCTTATAAGAAGTGGGGCTGGACACAGTGGTTTATGTCTGTAATCCCAGCACTTTGAGAGGTGGAGGTGGGCAGACCACCTGAGGTCTGGCATTCCAGAACAGTCTGGCCAATGTGGCAAAACCCTGTCTCTACTAAAAATTAGCTGGGCATGGAGGCATGCTCCTGTAATCCCAGCTACTCAGGTAGCTGAGGCTGGAGAATCGCTTGAACCCGGAAGGCAGAGGTGGCGGTGAGCCAAGATTGTGCCACTGCACTCCAGCCTGGGCGACAGAGTGAGAGTCCACCTCAGAAAAAAGGAAAAGGGCATTTGTCACGTATCAATGGAGGAAGTGATTAGGGTGATAAATCTACAAGCCAAAGCCAAGCGTTGCCAACCACCTCCAGGAGCTAGGAGGAGGCCGTGAAACAGATTCTTCTTTAGAGCTTCCAGAGGGGACAACCTTGCCAACACCTTGATTTTGCATTCCAGATTTCTAGTCTCCAGGCCTGCAGGGGAATAAATTTCTGGGGTTTTTGTTGGTGGTGGTTTTGTTTGTTTGTTTTTAGGTGGAGGCTCACTCTGTCACCCAGGCTGGAGTGCAATGGCGTGATCTCAGCTCACTGCAACCTCCACCTCCCAGTTCAAGGGATTCTTAGCCTCTTGAGTAGCTGGGACTACAGACGTGCACCATCACCCCAGGATTTTTTTTGTACTTTTAGTAGACACAGGGTTTCACCATGTTGGCCAGGCTGATCTCAAACTCCTGACCTCTGGTGATCCACCCGCCTTGGCCTCACAAAGTGCTGGGATTACAGGCGTGAGCCACCGCGCCCAGCCTATTTTCTGTTTTGTTTTGTTTTAAGATGGGGTTTCACCATGATGGCCAGGCTTGTCTTGAACTCCTGGCCTCCTGTGCTTTCCATACAATAACCATTGGCTATTTTGTGACTCTCTTGTTCTCAGGCCCACCAAATACCCTGTCCCTTTTCTCTGCCTTGATGCTGACACCTGTCCAGGTCTTGTGACTGTAAGTGATCTGTTTCTATTCACTTCTATTTTGGGGTTCATAAAAATACTTCATCACCTAGTTTTGTGCTAAATGTTGTCCAAGGGTTTTCATTCTCATTCTATTTTTTATTTTTTATATTTTTGCGGTGTGGGGGCACACAGTGGCACCTTCTTGACTCACTGAAGCCTTGACCTCCCAGGCTCAAGCAGTCCTCCTGCCTCAACCTCCCAAGTAGTTGGGACTACAGGCATATGCCACCACACTTACTGTATTTTTTGTAGAGATGAGCCTTCACCATATTGCCCTGGCTTGTCTTGAGATCCTGGGCTCAAGTGATCCTTCTCCCATGGCCTCCAAAAGTGCTGGGATTGCCGGTGTGAGCCATGGATCCCAGCCTTGGTTCTCATTCTAATTTCTGTTTTTATGTGAGGATTCAGAAATATCTAAAAACTAGGCTAACACTGCCGTTGCCATCTTTCCAGAGTGATTCTTTCCAAAAATGTCAGATCATGCCGCTTCAAAAATCTTGAAATGAGTCCCCATTTCACTCAAAGTAGAAGCCAACGTCCTTACAAAGGACTTACGGGGGACCGTAGGATCAGCAATTTCCTCAGTGCCCATCACCTCTCTGAAGCCCCTCCTACTTTTCTCCTCTTTGCTCCCTCTGGTGTAGCTACACTGGCTTCTGTGCTGTTCCTTGATGTAGCACACATCTTCCCATCTCTGAGCCTTTGCCCTGATCACTTTTCCGCTAGCCTGAGCCTGGCTAAGTTAACCACTTCCTTCACATCTTTGCAGATCTCTAGGTCAATGACGTCAGCCTGGACAACAGAGTGAGACTCCATCTCCCCATCCAGCACAGATTCCCTTTACTTTATTCTATTCTGCTTTCTCTTGTTCCCTTAACATTTAATGCCTTTTAACATCTTAAACATTTTAGGCTGGGTGTGGTGGGTCATGCCTGTAATCCCAGCACTTTGGGATGCTGAGGTGGGCGGATCACTCGAGGTCAGGTGTTCGAGACCAGCCTGGCCAACATGGTAAAACCCCATCTCTACTAAAAATACAAAAATTAGCCAGGTGCAGTGCCATGTGC